CGTATGAGATACTAACAGAGCTTAAGTTCTAAAATTAGAAGTGTCGGAGCTCTAGGGAAGATCGTCAGGAAAGATGAACAGAAATAAATAAATAAAAGGATTAATAATTAAAAAAATAAAAAAACAAGAAAATCTGAAAGGTTTCAGATTTTAAATTACGTCTAAAGGGGTATTTTTTTTTTTTACATTTTGTGTGTTACCTTTATTATTAAATATCATGTTCTCCGCACTTAAACCATAAAAATTCAGTTCAAGAGCAATATCACAAAATAATTTTCAAATGAGCATGTGTTTAGAATTTCCAATACACAGTCTCGCGCGCTGGAGATAAAAATGTTTTTTTCTGTACAACGTTGCCATTGTTCGCTTTGAAATCCTTGAGTTTGTTAATCAAAAATTCGTTAAAGTTTTACAAAATATGAAATCGATAGTAAAACAAATTCCAAGTTTCAAATTTGGGCTTCCAGATGCCCAATTCGCAGTACAATAGTCCCTCAGGGACAAAGCCCCTTTGGACTAATAATTAAAATTAAAATTTAATAAAATGTAAAGTGATAAATCAAAATTTAATAAGCGATTAATATCATTTTATTACTAAAAATAAAATTTTCGAGATCAAATTTGTCTTGAAATTGTTGTTCAGTTACATAAAAGCCTTCTTATTTTAACTGCGCCGTGCCCCGCTGTATCCGGCGCAATTTAAACTCTTGCTACTAACAGTATTTAAGCAAGTATTATAGCATACATTCTCAGAAGCAAGTAATGCAGTTTTTCCGTAATTTAGTTTCAGTAACAATGGAATTAATATTTCATGTAAATTTGTTATGTTTTCGCATAATAAACTATGTAAAAATGTATTGAATTTAAACTTTAACTGTTACGAGAGGAATATAATGCTTTTAGCTATAATGCTAATTAATTTTAAAAATAAATGATTCACATTAATGAAAGAAATTATACTACATTTTTACTTAAAACAATTATAGTCCAAAAAGGGGAGATGAAATAGCCTTTCAACATCCGTGGCGAACTCCAGAAGTGTTTGCATGGGCTTCTGTTGGCGAGATTTTAACTAAAGCCTGCTATATAGTCTTTTAACCCCTTAACTGCCGCGGGCGTATATATACGCCTTGCTCAGCCGATGCGTTAACTGCCTCAGGCGTATATATACGTCCTTCCAAACTGCTATCATTTGCTTTGCGCTGCTACACCTAAAATTATTCGCAAAGTTAACGTATCGGCTGCGCATCTGGGCGCATCTGGGGCAGTTAACGCATCGGCTGAGCAAGGCGTATATATACGCCCGCGGCAGTTAAGGGGTTAAGCACTTCTCTACAAAACTCAGCTTTGAAGTGTAGCCTTTGGTCTTTGCGTAGAGTTTAAAGGGTACCTGTGCATCTGCTGTCGGAGAAGCGGCGAGATGACAGGCCTTAGTTTCGGAATCCCATCCATTTGCATTTACCACTATAAAGAATTGAGTCTTATACACTAGCCAGGAGGTCTTTCTATCATATATGGATAGCTTTAGAAAGAGTCGGGGCGGCATTTATACGAATTTAAGGGCTTCAGAATTGTGACCAGCTATCATTATGGATGTCTTCAAGCTGTCAACTTCCTTGGCAGAAACACAGCAGCAGAAACTCTGTCATCGACTTGTTGTTTTGACAGAAGAAACTCTTTCTTCACTTTCTCCAACTTTATTTTCAACCGCGTCTATTCTGCCTTCCATAGCACAGAGTTTGCTTTTTGTTATGGCAGTAACTTGTCTTTTCATTTTCTTTTGAAGTGCCTTCATTTCTTGTTGGTGCACTTCATCTTTTCTTTAATGGATTCTTGGCCCACAAGCATCTCTCCTTTGAAAGCAGTGAAGGCTGCTACCGGCTGTCATAGCTCCTCATCCACCGCTTTTGTCACCGCCATTCAGTTTCACTTCTGACACCAAACATTTTTACTAGCATACGGGTTCGTAATGGTTTGAATTTACACAGAATCAGTGAAAGAAAAATTATTGACCCTAAAGAAACAAGGAGCTTTCCACAAAAGAACACACACAGTTCTTCTGAGTAGGACACAGCACAACCACTAATTACCCTTTCAGTAGTTCAGCAGTTACTAATGACGTTAAACACAACGCAATGCATAACGCATCCAAAGAGCGAAACTCGCACGGAGATCTCTCAATACTTCGATGTCAAAACCAAAAAAATGTTCTTTTCGGTCTTATATAGTCCCATTCTTTCTTTCCTAGTACTACAATTTCTTGAAATTACTGGAAGCGGTTAAAGTTACATATAAGGGCCGGACACGGTTACAGTTACACATAGGGATATTAGAGCTAGACTAGATGTTAGAAATTAAGTTTTCCAGATAGGGGTTGCAGTCTTGAAAGCAGGAAGCAAATTTATTACACATAGTTGTTACATGCAGGCAAACACAGTTACAATTACATAGAGCCGGATATGGTTAAAATTACATATAGGGATCACATACATTTATACAGGCATCGGACCAAAACAGCTCCAAATAATCGCCAAGTATAGTGACTTTTGGCGAATACTCGCCAAATTTGGCGATAAAATTTAGTCGTCCAAACCATCGCCAATCTAGCGAGATAACCATTTACCTCAATGTTAAATAGATTTGCCTTTGTAAAATTATTTTTGCGAGAAAACTTCGCTTTTTCAAGCATTTCATGTTACGTTATACAAAAAATATTATAGTTTCACATAAATTTCACTGAAATTATTTATATATATACCTTCTAGTAAGGTATTATTCTTTAACATTTAATCTACTTCTCATTAATTAACGAGCTAAATTATTTAAAAGCAACAGATGCACTTCTTAAGCATATTATTTTTTTAAGTTTTAATCTGATTGATTTAAATAGAAATTCATGGTATAGCTAATTGAAAACATTAAATATTTTTACAGAATTACGCTACATATTTTTTCACTTTTTAAATATGTAGAAAATATATAACACTCCCATATTAGTCTAAATGCACATTCATCTAATATCCTATAAAATATTTCACTATTCCTTCTGGGCCATTGCTGTTTTCCCTGGGTCATCTGGACTACCTAGGCTCTACTGATAAACAATATTAAAAAGAGCTCTTTTGAGGGATCGTTAAAATCTGAACCCTTTCAGACTTTTATTTATTTTAGTTTTATTCATTTGTTTATTTTAGTTGAGGGTGCTTAAGTTTGTTAAAATGACTCTATCTTGAAGGCTGAACTGATTAAATAAATATATCTATTCAATTTAATTATATCTTAAGTGAATATTTGCTGTTCTATGAAGAAATTTATTACTGATTTTTGAAACTGGAAATTCATGATTATTCAAAGAACATGAAGCATTTCAATTTCCTGTGTTTTTTACAAGTGGCAATTTTCTGTAAATGCTCATGTATGTGATTTTCTAACTTCAGTTATAGGACTTTTTTACTTAGTACAGCAAAAGTAATAACTGTGAAAAAATGAAATTGAACATTTTGTTTTCTGAGTTATAGATGCATATTACTTCTTTTATCAGATTCAAATGAAATTTTAATACATGAATAATAATAAAAGTTTTGCAAATATTCGTAAAAGGGTACTTTGCAAGATACCCTTTTACGAAATTACCCTTAGATTAAAAATACTACTATTTTCTAAAATAATTAATATGGAAACAAGCCATTTATAATTTTTTTAAACGGCAGACGATAAAATGATATGAAACAGACGTTCCAAATATGTGTCAATACATACCTAATAAATTATGTATATAATTTCGAAGGAAATACTTGAGGTTTGAATTAACTGATTGTGGGAAGTATATAACGGCTATCTGCAATAGGAAGAATACCTTCGTTGACATTCTTGCGAAGGCAAATATTCACATTACTCATATTGAAGTCTTTTGCAACCCTCCGATTGTCCCGGGAATCAAACGCAGGACGAACTGGAGTATGTATTTATTAGATTATGGCAATGTACACTGAAACTATCTGTGTAAGGCTCTCCTTTGTGGAGGACTTGAGGGAAACCATGAAAATTTTTACCCAACCAGCCTGTTTACAGCGACTTGAACCCGGGGCAAATTACTAACGTTTTATGATATTATTTGCTTAGCCGCTGATTGACCAAGGGACAAACTACCAGCGTTCAGCAAATGAAACAGAATAACGGTCGAAGAATGGCTTGCATGCGAGTGTATTGAGGATACATTTAAACTAAGAGAAAAAATGTTGGGATGTATAAGTACAGCTTTTATTGCTTATAAGTTGCGAAAGGAACGGGAAAAGAAAATCTTACGCATTGTGTATTTATCTAGTTTCTGGTCGAAAAACAAAATACCTCCGAAAAATTCAATCTAGAGAAACAGGAAATTAACTTTTAACGAATTTTTGATTAACAAACTCAAAAATTTCAAAGCGAGCAATGCCAAAGTTGCACAGAAATTTTTTTTTTATCTCCAGCGCGTGAGGGAAAATCCAAAGATATGCTCAATTTAAAATTATTTTGCGATATTGCTTTTGAACTGAATTTTATGGTTTAAGTGTGAAGAACATGATATTTAATAAATAAAGGTAACACACAAAATGTTAAAAAAACGCCCCCCATTGGACGCCCCCATTCTCTTCTTTTCTTCTTCTTATTATTATTATTAAAATTAAAAAAAATATCATTTATCTGTGTTTGCTATTGGATTATTCTACTACAACATTTCGGTATAAAGCTGGCTATTTCTTGATCGTCAATTATAAAGACTGTTGCATAACTTTAAAATACTAGTTAGTATTTTGCAAATCCTTGACTTTTGAAACATAATTTCGTCTGCTGTAAGGTTGAGGCGCTAAACGAAGCTTCAAACACTACGAAGAATCCGTCAGTAACACTTTCTTTAGAATCGAAAGCTGTACATTCTTCTGAGACACTACTTTGGGAGCACGAAGTGAGGAGTCAGATGATCATTGATCACATTTCACCCGGTCACTAGTCACGAGTTCTGCATACAAATAAGTCACGTGGTTATTGCATAAGAGTTAGTGTAACTTCTATAAAGACCCTTCGGCAAAAAGCGCGTTTATATGCTGAGTAGAGGTAAAGGGTGTACTTTCATTTTCAAGAGCAGTAATCTTTTTATCAAGTAAGTTTGAATGAAAGTATTACGTCGAAATACGAAATTAATTGCTTTATGTGTCAAATTTTGTTTTATGTTTTTTATAGCAACGTCGAACGAATTAAATTCTCTTCAGATTTCATAGATTCTCTTTTTAACTTTCGTTGCAGTTTAGAAACGACGACTTTTTTAAAAGTTATATGCATTAATTAAAAGAAAGAGTGTTCTGCATTTGTTCTGTTAATTTAATTTAAGCTTTGCAGCCAACTACCATTGTTGTTATTTTCTATTCTAAACATTTGCTTTATGAGTGATTGCGACTCTTGTTGCAAGTAAACAGCACAATGAAGAACGTAAAATTTGACATTTTCGTTTGAAAATCTATAGCTTGTAAAAAATGTTTCTTGTTCTATTCTTTGTAAATATCTTATCACACATCTTTTGATTCAAACATTCGGATTTAAAGACGGACACTGTTTTAATGGATGTAACGAAATTTAGCAAAACGTTGGAGTTTATTAAATGTGAATATGTGTAACTTTTAAATAAGTAAACATTGCAGAGTATATTGAATAAAAATTAGAACATTTAAATAAGTTAAGCAAAATAAACTGTTATGGAAGTATAATAGAGAAATTATAAAACTTATTAAGGTAATATATTGGGCAGGTGAAGACAAACGTAATTCTTTATGATGAGGTAGATAATAAGAAAAGAATGGCTTTTCATCCGCAGAGATTGGATATCATGTTTTATTCAAATAATCGTTTTTTCCTCTCTATGTGTATGAGATGACATTTCTAGTATCAGGACCTCTTCAAAAAAAATTGTAGTTGACAGTCATATTTATCATATTATCAGCCCTTTTGAGTTGCATGTTATCAATACACAAATAGGTTGTTAGGTTTTTGACTAATATGTGATAAAATGCCCTGATAAAGTAAGATATAAATACTTACTGAATCATTTATCCAGTTACTGTTCTTGAAAGACACTCCAAAGCAATGTAAGTCATTTGGCTAATTCTACTGAAGTAAAATCACTTAAATTCAATTTTGTTTAAATTTTTATATGATGATAATTTGTAAGGAAAATTCTATGCATTTTTATTTCTTATGAATAAAACATTTCCAAGAGAGTCAAGAATATTTCAGTCTTTTTAGTATTTGATGTTTTTTCCCCCCTTATTTAGCTTAAGATTACTATATTCTAATTATGATACATGCAATTTTCCCCCCTTTTGTTCTTCTTAAGTTTTAATATCTATAAAACAAGATGAAAGATGTTTTAAACTAATAAATCTGAACATCTAAGTGTAAGATTAATTGAAGAATAAAATTTAAAGTATTAACATCTGTTTGCTGGTGTAAAGTTTAGAATAATGAAGTATATTATGAATATGCCGTGTTCTTTTAACTTAAAAGTGCAAACTTTAATGTAAAAATTAACCAGTATTTGTTAATAAGAATTCTTAGTGATAAAGTTATATATTTATTTAAAGAGATACAGGAAATTCTGACATAATGAGGCAATAATTAAAAATTAAAATTTTTTTAATAATTCTTATTTTTTCTTCATAGCATGAAGCTGTTTATCCTTCTTGCAATATTTTGTACTGTTGCCTATGGGAAACATGTTATTCCCAAGGGAATTCATCCATTGTCCGACAAAATGATAGACTACATTAATTATATGAACACAACATGGAAGGTAACTAATTAATGCTTGTCCATTATTGTTTACTTTTTTTTTCTTAATTCTTATGTAATTAATTTTATTATTGTACATATGACAGATTTTAATCATTTGAAACACGACTAAATACATTATGAGAAAGACTTTTCTTTTTTGGCCTTTTTGGTTTAATTACTTTTAATTACTTTTATTTCCTCTTTATTAGATTATTGTAAAAGAAGCATTTATTTGAATTTTCATTTATTAATCATAACAGTTTTTCACTAAGGATGTCAGATAGCCTTTTTTAATACCAAATTCTCCAAATCTGCTTTCATTGTGATTTATTTGCATTACAAAATTCAGTTGGCGTTTTGACTCGGGGCTTTGAAGGCCATTCTGAAAGCATTTCCATGAAAATTCTCCACACTATCTGTAATTTTGAATTTTGTCAGTATTACGTTTGAATTTCAGGCTTGTTGTCTGGTACAGTTGCCTGTAATAGGACAGTATTTTTTATTTTTAATATTCATGCAAATTTTATAAGCATTCAGATGAACAAAATTTGGGCCTCACCAGTGGCCAAGTGGTTAGAACCACGGAATAATGGTAGTCTGACCTGGTATGGGTTCAAACCCAGGCCAACGGGCTGGCATATTGGTTTGTTTTTGTTGTATTTCTCCATGTGTAACGTGTGAATAAGAACCAGTTTCCCGTAGTACTCTTCAGAGGCACCCCTGCTGTTAAGCAGATAGTTCTTGTAGCTTATTCAAATAACTTAACCAATCAAATTTCTAGGGTTTTTCTATGCTCTTCCAAAATTTCATACTTTGTTGCCGAGTAAAACAAATCTGCATTTTTTTGGGGGGTCTCTCCTATTTTTTTTTTTTTTTTGGTTTTGGTTTTGTTTCCCTGTTGTTCAAATTCCTTTTTAGGTGATATTTGAGGCAATTGTACCTTTAATTTTGAGAATTTTGTTTTCATGTGATGTTAATAAATGAGACAATATTTCTTTTAGGTCTTGATTTACAGTAATTATAAACATATTAATAACGATATTCCCTAACTGGTATTTCCGTATTATCCTATTGACTGTGAAACTGTCGCCAAGCAGTGCAATTTAGTGCCATTTATAGATAAATGTAACGTAAAAGCACTCTTATGACATCTGTGCTTTTGTTTGATATAGCCCTGATTGATTTTTGATAATTATCTTTTGCTTTTATGAAAAACTGTTATTGCTTTATTTTTCTCTGGCATTTTTTTGGGGGGAAAATTTATATTTTGGAACCTGCCGTCTACAGAAGAGTAAGGCAACAGATTATTTTTAGAGTTGTTGGATCATACCATAAAAAAGTGTATTAATGGTATTTTATTTACAAAGAGATAAACAGTGGTATAAGATAAACAGTATTGCAAAAACTTATGACAAGAGAAGAGAATATTCATTTGAAAAGGAATATGGTTCGAAAGCTGTAAAATCACAGAGACTCTACTCTGCTTCTTTTGCAGCTGGTCGAGAGAATTAACTTCTGTTAAGTGGAAAAAGAACAGTTGGATATGGCTGACGAAATAGTCATATGTTGGAACAATTATCTACAGGATGTATATATATATACTTGTAGTGTTTAAAAAAAAAAAATTCAGTAAAATTTGATTTTTTAACCAAATAATGGAAATTGAGGAAAATCTTTTTATGAAGTGCAGAAACGAAACAGACTTAAATCTGATTGTTTATTAAATGTCACATGACTTCTTTCAGAAGTTTGCGGGAGCAGTTAGCTTAACTTAAGCAGGATCCGTCAATTTTTCATGGTAGACAACTTTCATGATCAACAGGATAATATCTAAGTAATATGTAATTTTATTAGTTGTAAGAAATATGCATATGTTTAAATGATGATTCGTATAAATTTTAGGCTGGAAGAAATTTTGATCGTGTTAGCTTGAAGTACATTAGAGGACTTCTTGGAGTTCACAAAGATAACAACAGGTACAGATTACCATCCATTAAACATGCCTTACCTGGAGATCTACCAAAATCTTTTGATGCAAGACAGCAGTGGCCAGACTGTCCAACAATTAGTGAAATCCGGGACCAGGGTTCTTGTGGTTCATGTTGGGTAATAAATTAAAAAAAAATCTATTCCTTTCTTTTTCAGATGCGTGATAGTGCTTTTAGTGTTGTTTTCATTTCTTTTAAATCAAAAAGTTCTGTGAACAAAAATGAAGCTATTGCTAAGCTGCAAGTTTTATGCTTTTTCATTTATCTTCTAAATTGTTATACTGTGCAAAGTCCGACATCCAGAATTGTCAGATAACCAAGGATTCTGTTTTTCGGAAATTTTGAAAATTTTAGATGATCGATTTAAATTAAGAGAGATGACATAACCATAACACATGAATATTAGGCCTGATTTCCTTAAAAAAAAGAAAAGGAAAGACTATTTGAAATGAAAGACTATTTCTAATAATATAAAATAATATCTAATTAATAATAAATATTGAATTCGTATTAATATTAAATATTAATTATATATAAAAATAGTCAGGCCTTTCAATTAAATATTTACATATTTAATTGAAAGGCTGACTATTTTTATTAATTAATCATTCTAATTTCTGTACAGTGGAACCTTGAGTTAGGAGTTTAATTTGTTCCAGCACTGAGCTCGTATGGTGAATTTCACGTATCTAAAAACAAACTTCCCCATTAAAAATAATGGAAATCCAGTTAATCCGTTTCACACCCCAAAAATATCAACATAAAAATCAATTTTCCTAATAAATAACACTGGTAAATAATATAAGTGTAGTTTACGTTTATGAAGAATCCTGATTGGCACTAGGGATGTGTGGAAGAAGATTTTTCCTTTGATTCAGGAAGGTTCTCTGTTCTTGGGGATTTTATCCCACTGGAAGCAGGTTCTGGGTCAGGATCACTTAACTTTCTTTTTAGTTGCAGGTTGCTTTACCAAAAACTTATCTAATAACACTTGCTTCACCACATCACTTTCAGTGGTTTTTTCTGCACCTTCCTCCTCTTGAAAACTCGTAGATTTTCTGAGTGGTAAAAGAACAACGCCTTGATTTTTTACATTCTCCAGTTGCGTTGGCAAAAAACAAGAGGGTAAGCCTATCTTTTCATTGGCTTATGGCCAGGTAAAGATTTTTCCTCTCGTGTGATGTAGATCCTCTTAGGCATTTTCTTCCAAAAAAAGACCTGTTTCATCACAATTAAACACTTGCTGGGGAAGAAACCCCTCGTTAGTAATAAATTGTAGGAACTCTGGCCGAAATTTAGCAACAGCAGCTGTATCAGAGTTCACTGTGAACATTGGTTCTCTCTTTAAATTTTTCAAACTATCCATGGCTTGTCTTAAATGTGATCTTACCTTCAGTCAACGTACCTAGTGTTTTTTGGAGAAGGTCCAAGTACACATTCTTAGTCCTTAGCACAAAAGATATCTTCGGATACCGAATCGGCTTTTAAATGTTTCTCATTATTCCACACCAACAACAGTTTCTCGACATCTTCTAGGAGTTTGGATGGTGTTTGGAAGTAACAGTAACTTCTTTGGCCACATCAAGTTTCTTCCTTCTTCAGCATAGTGCAGATCGTCAATGTCGAACAGCCGTAAGTCTTCACCAATTCCGTCACTCTTACACCACGCATATGTTTATCTATGATTTCTTTCTTAATTTCAATGGCCCTGTCTTCCTTCATTTTCTTTACAGCACTATCTGAGGCAACAATATTCTTGGGAGCCATCATGAAATAATTTTCACGTTAAATGTAAAAAACAATTAGCTCACAAACATACAAACACTTATATCAAAGAACAGATGAGGGGATTCCATGAGGTGGATCAGAAAATGTGCCACACATACCAATAGTCTGGCTGATTGCTCATTATTCGAGTCAGTGCTCGTATTTAGAGACATATTTTTTGCTCGCACTTTCCTCGTATTTCAAATTTCTCATATATAGAGGTGCTTGTATTTCAAGTTTCCACCGTATTATTTGTCTTAATTTTATTTTGCAATTTTGTAGCACTTTTATACTACGAAAATCCTTCGTATTGGGGGGGGGTAGCGTTTATTTACCAAAGTACTTTTAAATATGATGAAAATAAAACTAATAATTAATGTACTTGTTATTGTATGGATAATCTTAATAAAATACAATTTATTGATGTAAAACAAAATTAAATATTAACTGGTTAAACATTGGTTGAATCTTTATAAAAAAATATCTGCACATGTGTACAGTAAATTAGGAAACTTAAGACACTTTAGATCAAATAAAATTTAATGATAAAAATTATGGTGAAAAGCATTAAAAATGGGAAGCTGAATTTGCAAAATTTAAATTTTATTGATTCCATTGACTTTATTTATTGCTGGAAAAGATTTCCCTTATTAAGGACCAAAAGTTAAAAGGGGTATTCAATGATCTCCCTGTTTGTGGAAGATGTGGTGAAAAACTGGTAGAATTGGCAGTTATACATTTCGGACATAAAAGCCAACGTATTTTCGTAGGCCTTAAGGATATGAAAATGAAACCTATTATCTGATTATGAAAATTTCTTAAATAAATGTAAGAAATTTGCTCAAAATGCAATTAATAGAACTTGGAAGTGTTTTCATTTTCTGTATTTGTCTCGAATAAACTGAAGGCTTAGATTTGTTATTCATTAATGGTGCAAACAACATTTGACTGAATAAATTATAAACTCTTTAGTAAAAGTCCCTCCTTTTTTTTATAACTCTCTCTAATCACAGTTCCAAAATTTCTTGTTTAATGTTAAGTTTTCCTGTAAACTGCAAGAATATCAAATTATTGATACAAGATTTGTCTCTGCAATATGTTAAGATATGCGTTTTCTGTTTCATCTTCAGGGTCTGATGAATGCAAATTTTTTTTCTTTTTCACTGTAACAATGTCTATTTATTAAATAATCTTCTATTACTGTAACAGGAAAATTTTGGTCACTACCAATCAGTGCTTCTGTTTCAGAAGTTCCTAGCTTAGAAACAGATTCTTTACTTTTATTTCTACATTTAAGGCATTTAATATTTCTGTCAGGCCTTGTGCTTCCATTTTAAAACTATTGAATTCGTCATCACAGAAATCTGACGAAGTGTTGACTGAAAATAATAAAATGACTGAAAATAAAATGAAATTTTCTGCCATCACTTTCTAAGCATATGATTTACAATGGAATTTCTAGTCTTCACTAGTTCGTAAATGGAATCTTTTATTGAAAACTCGGATCAAAATTCTGTTATAGAACATTCAGAATTCTGAAGTCTGTTCATAACATTTTTATGATATGTCATTTTAAAGTTCGTAATAATACCTGCTTGGTACATTAACTGAATCAAGCAGTTATGTTCAGGGGAAGAAACATGCTTGTAATATTGCTGTAACACAGTTCCTTTTTGATGGGATGAACTTGGAAGCAATCAACTTTCCTTGCTGAGAACAGGTTAATTGTATTTGCATTTTAGATGTTACAGTAGGATTCTGAATGCCTTTACAAAATTCTCATTTGTTTCATGTGTAATTTTAAAGAGGGTTTGTGAAATTCTAAAATATTCTAGGTAGAGTTTTCTAGTTAGTTAAAAGCCCTTTCTAATTTGGCCTTTTAGTGTTTTATATTGTATATTGTTGCTGCAGATGCCTAGACCTTTCATGCATTGTGAGGAATGACCAATATCCATCAGCCATTGAGTTATTTCATTACTGATTCTGCTGTGCAGAGGGTAAACAAATTACATTCATGAGAAATTATATCCTAATTTTGATTGAAAAAATCCTATGTGGACAGATCTGAGGTTCTTTCGTCCTTCTTTTATCATAAAAAATCTCTAGAGGATTTTAAATGCCTTCATGCTGCACAGAATCTATGCTTTTACATATGTTGTAAGTCCTTTCCAGAATTCGAACTTGGACTCATTGATATGGCATCAAGCATCTCAAATCACTATGCTAATCAAGAAAACATATTACAGTACAAAGTTCGAAATCTGGACTCGTTTGGGACTTATGCGATTCCGGATTTGTCCGGATATTAGGTGATCAGTTTATATCTAACTAAGATGGCATGTAGAAATAATAAAATTAAAAATTTGAAATCTTGATATATGAAATAAGGAAGCATTAATGATCTAAATGGTATCAAAATTTACAAAACAAACAAACAAAACAAACAAAAAAAAAAAAAAAAAAGCTTAAAATTTATTTTTACGTTATTGAACATTTCTTTCAAGTTGTTAAGTTGCTTCGTTTTTCATGCTAATACTTTCTCTGTAACGCGCATGCATAAAGCACACACACACACACACACACACACACACACAAAAAAAAAAAAAAAAATTGGTGGTGGCTTTGAGGTCCAGATTTTAGATCATTCTGAATATTGGATGTCTGAATCTTGGACTGTGTACTGTATATATTGTCACATTTGTTGCCTTGATTGTGATGAAAATATGTGACTTCGTTAATTTAGATAAGTTGAAATAATTAGTCAATTAGTCAAATTTGAAAGTTAGTTGATTTATTCAAACTACTATTTAGTTAAATATAAACTAAGTTTTATAAAATTATGATTGAAATACTATGTATCAAGTTTTTGTTTGATTTTCTTACCTTTATTAATGTAACGTATTTGTTATTGTATAATAAGATTAAGAACAAAATCTTTTGATGTAATAATGGATGTGATGTAGCACTGAACATTACTTAATCAGATGTCTTTATAATAAAAAAATATTTGAATGATCTGAGAATAATAAATTGTAAATAAGGTATAAAGATGCCTACCAGCAGCTGAGTAGTAAAATCTCTGAACACTGGTTGTTTGGTCTGTGGTTCGAATTGCGGTGAACGGGCTGGCTCCATGGGCATTTTTGTAGTTCTTGCTATGTGTAATGTATATACTAGTCGGTTTCAAGTACTTAGGAAGTCTTAGAAATAATACTTTATACACGAGTACTTAGAAAGTACTCCCCGAAGACATGACCCCCTAGGCAAAAAGCCGTCGAGTGTTTTGCCATTAATTAAATAAAACTTAACCAGTCTTTATTAGACATTTCACAATTATAAAATGACTCAGGGTAATTGTTGAAAATCCTCAAGTGTTTCAGAGAAAGGTACATGAGTTTTATTAAAAATTTATTTTTAGGCCTTTGGAGCAGTAGAAGCTATGTCTGATAGGCACTGCATTCACAGCAATGGCAAAGTAAAAGTACAGTTGTCTGCTGAAGATCTTTTGACCTGCTGTAGTAGTTGTGGAATGGGGTAATTATAACTGTTTTTTTTTTAATCTCATTTTGTTTCTGTATTTTACTTATGTAACATAGTGATTGGTAGTTAATATAATAAATATTGATTACCTAATGTTTGTCAGTTTGAATTCATAACTAGGCTTATTTTTATTTGCATTAAAGTTCTGTCGTCTATTTTGATGACATTTTTTACTACCTAAATATATTTATTTTGAGAAATATTGAGAAAAATTAATTTTACTTTAATTAAAAATTTATTTTTTCCATTTGAATTGTATATCAAGTCTTTTTTAATATTGAAAACTTTTATTTTGTTATTAACTAAAATTAGTTGAATAAAAATGCATCACTTATTTTTATATCAGAACAATGCTGCATTTTGTTTACTTCAAACATGAGAAATGTTGCAACCCTGCTTTTATCAAGCAGTAATATAAATTTTGTCACTAAGTGGATAATAACTGTTAAATTGATCTAAGCTTAAAAATTGATGAAATTCATGTGAACCTACTTATTTTTGTTCATCTCTAATGATGCTGTAGAGTAATGTATGCTAGTTGGTACTAGGTATAACAACATGTATAAATACTTGCCTTATTTTTTAGTTCAAATAATTGGGAACACAGCCTACTCAGATATTTGAAAAATCTAAATAATTGCTTTTTTTCTATGAACAGTATGTAGCTTTACTTTCGTACAAGTAAAGAATTTTTTATTTGATTATTGTAGTTTATTTAACAAAGATTATAGAGTGAAAAAATTATTTATATATAAAATAAATTTTAATATTTTTGGGGTGTAAAATTAAACAATGAAATTATTTTTAATTACCTAACAACACATTTACCCCACATTTGTTGCAGTTAAAATTCAATTAGGATTGGAATTCATTGCAGGTCTGCTATCATGCAGTGTCATGCTCTAATTTGCATATAATTGGTGTAAAATTTAATTTAGTCCATTTCATGTGTGTTGCATTTAAAATTGTTATGGTAGAAAAGCTCATTTTACTTGAATCTGCAAAATATATCTTTATTGGAGATGTGATACAAAGTAAGATGAAGGTTACTAGTGAAAGTAGCTTTAGGTTAGTTTATGCTGAGCTGAAAGTTTCATCTTTCTCTTCACAGCATGTGTATTCTTGATGTTTCAAACATTTTATTGTTTTGAGAAATAATATTAAGAAAATTGCTTCACTTTTTTCTAATTTTCTTAATATTATTTGTATTTTCTAATATTCATATTATTATTAATGGAAAAGTTGCATTATAATAATATTATAAAACATAAATATATAATAAATAAAAAGACAATACTATACAGATAAAACAGTCAAAAAATTAATTTTACTGTACTTGTACAAAGAATGAATGGCATAAGTTCAAAATGAGAGGAAAATGTTATTCTTTGGATGTGAAATGAACATCAGGTCTTTCTGATTTTACTACTCAGCTTTAAATAGATTAATGATCCTAAAATAAGATGAGGCATCTTATTTTATCTTCTTCTTATTATTTTTATTTGTTTCTTAGTGCTAATGGACTCTGCTTAGGCCTAATTTTCTCTCAAAATTTATTTAATACGATTTCCTTATCTATGCTTTAAAGTGTTTCTGAAGTGAAACATTAGATTGTCTTTGAAAATGTTTTTCTGTAGCCTTGCTATGGCTTTATCAGGGTGATATCACAGGTTCACAACTTCTATGACTATCACATTACAGTGGGATCTCAGTGTATGTCTGCTTTGAAATATGTCCAGCTTGGTGTATGTTATTTTTGCATTTAAAAATTTTGTTTGGTATATATTTATGTGGAGTACTAGACGAGTTTGATGTGTCGTGACTGCACATACTGCACTTGTTTACCTCTTTTGGGACAGTGCTATGATTGTCCATGAGTGCCAGTACATCTGTTGTTACTATGAGTAAGCAAATCACTTTATAACTCTGAGTTTTCAAGTGATTTTATGTTTTTCATGTAAATTTCTTGTAAACTCATTAACAAGGATTTGAGAGAAATTCATGAGAAGAGTCAAAGAGCAAAGATAATTGTTAGGATTGCTGTAAAAAAAGAGATTATTGAAAAATATGAAGATGTAATGCATATTTATGACTTGGCTATGGCATACCATGTGCCAAATACTTCGATGTCTACAACTGTGAAAAATAAAGACACTGTTAAATTTCCTAACACTGTGAAGGTGGTAAAATCAATTACCAAACAAAGACCAGAAATGTTAGACATTGGAACATATTGAAACATTGCTGTTGATCTGGATAGCAGAAAGACAGTTGTGTAAAGTTTCATGTGCAGTATTTCAATTATATACAGTATATATTTCACCTACTGGATTTGTATTTTAGTATTTAACAGCATTATAGTAATAATAGGATTTTTCTGTAAGAAAAGTTGAATATTTTTGCCTTTATTTCTTATAGAAAAAGTTTGTGTGGTAAAAAGAGATTATTGAAAAATATGAAGATGTAATGCATATTTATGACTTGGCTATGGCATACCATATGCCAAATACTTCAATGGCTACAACTGTGAAAAATAAAGACGCTCATAAATTTGCTAACACTGTGAAGGGGGTGAAATCGATTACCAAACAAAGATCAGAAATGTTAGACATTGGAGTTTGTTGAAACATTGCTTTTGATCTGGATAGCAGAAAAACAATTGTGTAAAGTTTCATTAGCAGTGTTTCTTTTATATACAGTATATATTTCACCTAATGGATTTGTAGTATTTAACAGCATTATAATAATAATAAAATTTTTCTGTAAGAAAAGTTTAATTGTTTTCCCTTTATTTCTTATTGAGAAAGATTGGTATATGTCTAGTGTTTTTAAATAGATTAATGATATATACCAAGGTACTGCTGTATATGAAAGATTGGTTCTTACCCCCTTTTGCACAAATTTCATAGGCCAGAGAATTAGGTTAATCCTTTCTTCATTATTATACTTCTTGAAACATTTCTTCGTCAGTTGCCTTTTCTTGTTGCTTTTTAAGTTATTTCTTGTGAAACTCATTTTTATGGTTCTGTAGTAACTTCTTCACATCATCATGGTCATTATTTTGGCTATTACTTCTATGGCCATTATTTTGGCTATAGACACATCATCATGGATAACAAAAAATCCCAAGTGTCAATGCTCAAAGTCTGTTTGCAAACCAATCCAGCCATAATTTCTTGCAGGCTGAATTCATGGTCTTTCAAGTCATTTGGTGATGAGAGTTAAGTGGTGGAAAATATCAAAATGAGGTTTTCAAAAGCCCCTGAGTGTTAATTATGTGGCATAGATTATTTCAAAATATCGTTGAAAACAATATTTTGCCTACCTGAGTGTTCATAATTCAAGACTTCATTTATGTATGAGGCATTTTTTGTTCAGGTGAATTTTTTCATGAATTAAACTGTTTGTGAATTGAGATGTTCCTCATGTGAGATTTCCTCGTTATAAAATTAAAACATCATGATGACAAGAGTTTTGTCTTGTGATTCCTTTTTTCTAAAGTGTAAAGGAGTCTTCATTTGTACTACATCTGGAGAATGAAACTGTGAGAGCCCTATTATAAAACAAGAGTAGTTATTTTCAAGGTATTTTTTTTAGTCACTTTTTAATATGAGTGTACGCTTTTTTATTACAATTAGTTAGATACTAAACAACAGAACATTTTTTTATGTTGGCATAATTTGCTCATTTGGTTGACATTAGAAGCTATCGCAGCATCAAGGCTTTCCTCACTTAACAGAATTGCATAATTAAGTTAATTATTGTGTCTGAATGTGAAGGAGCACAAACATTATTTTTTGGTCTTTTTCAGATTAAGTTCACTTGACATATGCATATTTAGTAATTGTATTTGTCTGAACAGCTATTTACCAGTTTTTTTAATAATTTCTGTTAATAGTGGCACACTTAATTTTTTGTATAAAATATGTGTAAGTATAAAAAAAGCTGTATTTTAATGAAGTATTTGTGCTCTTTCTGCAATACAGATGTGATGGTGGTTTTCCAGCATCTGCTTGGGAATTTTGGGTTGACAAAGGAATTGTGACTGGTGGTTTGTATGATTCACACGTTGGTTGCCAACCTTACACCATTGCATCATGTGAACATCATACCACAGGATCTCTACCTCCTTGTGGAGATATAGTTGATACTCCACAATGTGTTCACGTGTGTGAGAAAGGCTACAATGTTAGTTATCGTGATGACAAGTTTTTTGGTGAGCAATTCTTTATATATAAATTTCATGCTTAGTTGCTTTAATATTAGTTTTCTTCCTTAATTTTTGTTAGGTTTGTATTGTTTTGTGCTGTGCCAACAATTTTCTTTTGTAATTAATTTTGTGCATATTGTTTTTACATTACAAGTGGCTGTTATAGAATTAATTAAGTAGTCAAAGAACAAAAATCAGCATTATATTTGCAAATTTTCATAAGACTAGTTTTGATGGTTTTATCGAGCCATCATCCTCAGCTGCCAAACCACAAATGATTCAGTCATTTATATGGGCTCGCTCTGGCAGCTAAGGATGATGGTTCGATAAAATCATTGAAACTAATCCTGTGAGTATTTGCAAATATATTTTTGTTGTTTGTGAATATTTGCAAATATATTTTTGCTCTTTGACTTCTAAATTGATACTTGTTCTGCGTCTTGTTTTATATTAACTGTTTTAGTATTTAGAAAATGTGTTGCAAAAGAGAAAAAGTGTTTCATCCTTATTTGAGAATTATGGATCTTTTTTATTTAGAGTAATCTTAAGTTATAGATTTAAAAACTTTTTTATTAGTTTTTTAGCAGAATTTTTCTGAAATTTCATTTAGCTGTTTCATATTGATTGAAAAAATTGTAAATTTATCTATTTGTGAAAATGTTTTAAAGAATAACTTTCAAATTACAAGCATACTAATTATTTATGCTTTCTTCTTTTATGTGAACAGTTTACTTCATAGCTTATAATTATTACATAAAAGAGTACATGGATGATAAGGTAGTAGTAGTTGTGTTTTGTCTTTGTTTGTGATTGTAGTGATACATGATTTATCTTTACAGAAGCACTTAAAAATACAATTCGGTACTTTTCTGTTTCACCGGCGCAAATCTCGCTAAGCAGACTAGCAGACTTTATTGCCGACAACACACGTTATGCACATAAAAAATGTTAACAAATGTTAGTTCTAAGAAATTTTAATTTTGAAGGCATAAAACGTTTTAATATCATTTGAAATTTTGTAAAAAGGCAATAAATAAAGACAATTTGTAAAAAGACATTAATTTAAGAATTTACTATGCTTTCATGGTACAACATCCTGATTCGCCCTTTCAGATCACGTGACCCCAAGTAATCTCATCTCACATAAACTATGCAACAGAAATCTAATTCTCTCAGTAATTATCTGCTACAGGTATTATCTACATTTATTTCAAGTTAAATCTCAATTTGAAATACAAGTGCAAGAATTATTTCAATTCGTACGAATAGCTTACTCCGAAATTATGTAAAACCGTAGTGCTTTACTTCGCTAGTGTTATATCATTTGTTAAATTCATAAATTCTCATTAGAATTTATGAATTTAACCCTTGACTTTGCCTTTTCTATATTTTCGCCTTCGGGTCAGTAGTGTGATTGTATCCTAATTGACTTAATTACTGCGAATGGCCTTAGGGTATAAAACTGAACAATCTGGTAAAAAATTCTATGTAATTGTATTCCAGTATTGAAAGAAACAATCAATCTGATAAGAAATGGCTGTGACTTGTTTTGAAAATGAGGCGTAAAAGGTTACCAGCGAGGATATTTGGTGTAACATCGGTTGTACTATTACTGCCGACTTTATCGCCTGCGCCAAAAGTGCCTATCGAAAAGTGGAAAAGTGCCTGTCGCCAGTGCCGTCAAAACGGAAAAGTGCCTGGGAAATTATTAAGGAATGTGTGTAAAATGCAGCATGAAATGATTTTATAACTTAACAAAGGGAAATTCTTCTCCAGGGGAATTTTCTCTAGACATCTTCAAGAACTATGGTTTTTATTTTAGTTACTTTTAGTAAATTAGTACAGTTACTTATTGTTGTCAATTATCTTCATAAATTTCCATTTATTAAGAATATTTACATCAGTAAAGAAAGTAAAAAAAATAAAATTTATATTTTAAGTTATACATTAATGTATATCAAGTAATAAAAAATGGTATGCTATAATTATCTGTACCTCGCAATTTCAACAGTCGGTAAAATTGCCATGCGTTGGGTATATTTTCGAGTATTGCATGACACAACAGCTAACCCATGCATGCATGTACCGCATATGTATTTGAGTGCATGTGGATTTACATGCTTTATATTTAACCTTTATTTTGCTGAAGAGTAATCACTATAATAGTATGTTCAGGTAATTAGAAAGTACTCAAGAAATTCTCATGACCGGATAAAGGCAGTCATTGCACTCAGGGTAGTAAAAAAAATTAAAATAATCGTAAATCTTAAAATTTTTTATGTAGCCTATGATAATAAATTGTTTTTTATTTTGATATCAAAATGTGCTGTCGATGAAAATAATATCAAAGAAATTATTTAGTTCAAAAACAGCATTTAAATTAAAAGTAAGAGAAATTATTTCCCCTGAAAAGGCAAACAGTTATAAAAATAATCAAGAATTGTTATATTAACCTTTATCATAGCAATCACTTTTCTAAACAACCACTTCTATAATTAGTATTTCTAACATAAACAAATATTGACATTGAGCTTTTATCTCTAAGATGACCACTTCTAGATGATTTTGGTTTTCTGTGGAACTGTGAGTAGTCATAGAGACGGTTGTTACCGAGTTTTTCTGATATCAGGATTTTTTTAAAATATAATTTTTCATTTTGATTCAAGAGTATTTTTTTTTCCTTCCACCAAGTGTGTTTTTCTTTAAAAAAAGTGTTGTAGAATTTGCAAAAGTTTCAATGCATGCATCAACTATAGAGTTTGATCTTTAATTTATATACTGAATTTGATAATACACAAAAGTTGGGGTCAAATATATTTTTAGGAAAATAAAATAGCTAAATTGGCAGGTTGTACTGGGATAAACCAACCTATGGGAGGTGAAAAGGTAATATAAATAGAGAAATATTTGAGATTATTTGTACTGGGTTCGTTGCATATAATAATTAATTAGTATCATGTATATTGGAAATTTTGAATAACAAAATTGTCTCATCTCATAGAAGTTGTAAGTTTGAATATTTACTGATTGTTTGTAAATATTGTAGTTTATTAGTAGTGTTTAGTAAATATTAAATGTATGAATGTATATGGATTATTTACAGGCAAACGTTCTTACTCCATTGAAAGTGATGCTGCTCAAATTCAGGCTGAACTTTACAAAAGTGGTCCAGTAGAAGCTGCGTTTACAGTCTATTCAGATTTTGTTAACTACAAATCTGGTAATTGAATATTTTTGATTATGTTTTATCTTTTTAGCTTTATTTATTAAAAAAATTTCATTCTAATTAATGTTAACTTTATATTAATCAGAAATAAGAATTTAATTCTAAAAGTGTAGGTCATGTAAAATTTATTAATTGTAGCTGAAGTATTTTTGATTTGTTTTTTAGAAGTAAGGGGTTATCTAGTTTTTTTTTGGTTAAACTGCATGAGTAATATACTATTTACAGAGTTTATGTATTGTCTCAAGTTTTATTTCTCTAAGTTTTTTAAAAAGTTACTTTTTATCATTTACAGATAATTTATATTGAAATGAAATTTGGATCTAAGTTTTATGATGAGTCTTATATTGCAGCTTCAAAAACTACCCTTTTTATTTTTTATTTTATTTTTATATATATATATATATAACAGGAATTCCAAAAACTGACTAGAGGAGTCCTAAAACGGAGTTTAAGGAACTGATTCATTTTAATACAAACTGTTAAAGTCTAATTAATGTATTAAAACAGTTGCCAAATTAAAGTTTGATACACAACTTAATTTCATGAATATTTGAAATGAATTTTACCTGAGAAAAATCACTGTTTAATTAATTTCTACTAATGCTCAAAATATTGTTTCTAGCTTCTTTCAGGTGGCTACTTTTATTAAAAATTTTTATAATTGCATGAAGTTAGAACTGAAATGTTATAATAATGTATAAACGTTAAATGAATTAATTTCACAAATATGATTTTATATTTAATTTAATTAGTGATTTATAAATGTAATTGAAATACAAGGCAGATGCATCTCATGCAGATGAAATTATAGTGAAGAAAGCAGAAAGCAGAAAGGGTTCATTTTGTAATTTGTGAACTTTTGCTGTTTTTATGTTTTTTCTAAAGTTTATTTATTAATGTGAATTAAGTTGGTGATTATATATCTCAGGCAATAATTTTTTCCATATGAATGTAAACAAGCAACATAATGTTTGAAAGTTCTATGGCAGAAAGGTGTATACCCTTCATCTGATACCTAATTGAGAGGAATTTGAATGTCTTGTGTTTGTGCAACTAAAGCAAATCAGAAATTGCTTCTGGAATACCATGTCATTGTATATAAAAACATGTAAATATTAGTTTTCTAAATTGAAATGCTATAAAAATATCTGCATTCCTTAAAGTTTTTTTTTTCTTAATAAGTTTTTCTTCATATGCTCATTTTGACTGCAGGTGTGTATCAGCATGTAGCTGGTGAGGAAATGGGCGGCCACGCTGTTCGTATTCTTGGATGGGGTGTTGAGAATGGTACTCCTTATTGGCTTGTTGCTAACTCTTGGAATACTGATTGGGGTGATAAAGGTGTGTATATTTTTTTATTCTGTGATTAGTAAAAGTAGTAAAAATATTTAAGGTAGTTCAATGTATCAGTTTAAAATTTTCAGGCTTAAATTTAAAATATAAAAAATATAAAAAATTAAATGATTTTAGGAACTACTTCATTTTAAGGGGGGGGGCATTGACAATGGTTCAATATTTTTCATCAAATCAAACTCCAAACACAAAATAACACAAAAATCTGAAACCTAGATCCTAATCTTGAATTATTAATTTATTGAGATAAAATTTTTAATAGCTCCCAACATCGATGAATTTATTTATTTTTTCTTTTTTTTTGCGCATTTATCGCCACATAAACGCGGACCAGTATCATTCAAGATGTTGTCTAGCCATACCTCGATGGCATTTTCTGTGCCATTTTGATTCCCATATATACTCTACTATTTGGGTGTGACATCCATTTTCTGGATCAACAAAGTAAAATTTGTGGTTCACTGTGAAATGTTCCAAGCTGGCATCTCACAGTTCATCTGGTTTATGTGCCTTCCAAAAATCAGTGTAAATAGTTTTACTTCCAGAACATTTTCCTTAATGATAGCTGATAAAGATTTTGCTGATTAATCAGGAACTGCAACTGAAAATAATTTGTTGGATACTCTTTACTATCCACTGAAAACCCATTATTGTGGAAGACCCTGCCTAGCGTGCTGAGCAGTCTTATTTATTTATGGTTCATCTTACAAGTTGTAATTTGCAAAATGCAATTGATGTCATTTTCCAGCATCAGAAATATATAAAACTCAGGATAGTGAGGAAGGTGATTTTGGAACTTTCAAAGCAATTTTGCATTTGGAATCCTTTTCTTTCATTGCAAGATCCTTTCCTTCAAAGCCATGTCATGGCATTTTGTTCAAAACTCAGTTTTATTTCGTGATCTTTTGAGCACAACTGTTTATTTTTGATGATGCCTCTTTGAAATAAATCATTCGCTGACTTTTCATCCATGGGCAATTTCAAATTGTGAAATCCATGGCAAGCAGGCCCCCCTCTAAAAAGCTTTCAATAACTATTTCTTTCAAAAATTTCACAGGTAAAAAAGAAATAGAACTCGTGAATTATGTGAAATTGAACTTTTGAATTATGTTAGAAGCATCACTGGCTTCAATAATAGTTTGGCAATTTTTTACAGCCCCAGAAACAGAGTATTAAAATTTTATTATTTTCATGTTGGGGTTAAATTTTGTCTTGGAAAAAATTAAATATTTTTCATTATTAAAACTTAAATGGTGTTAATTTTAGTTTAAAAGATGTTTTTAACTGTATGCAGTATGCATCAATACATTGTCTATGAATTTAATGAATTATTTATGAATTAAAAATTACTTTATATTAGTTTAATTTTTGTCCTAAGCTTATTGAATTTTTAATGTAAATAACCGGGATAAGAATAATTTCATTAATGCATATCTACAAAATCCACTTATAATTTTCTTTTTCATTTTCTATTCCATTACCATCTAAAATGAAAAGGATTCATGTCCTTTTGTCATGTTTCATTTAAAATATCAATGTCTAACTTCCATAAATTTATTCACTAAGGAATTCATTTGTGCAGGAGATTCATAAATCTTAGAACAAAATGTCATTAAATAATCAATATTTACATTTTTTGTTGTAATTTCTACATGGAATTAAAGAAAAAGCTTAAAAATTAAAAACGATTGGTTACAATAAATAATGATTCTCTCTCTCTCTCTATACATATATATACATGTAAATGTGTGTGTGTGTGACTTTCTTTTTCCAAGAAAAATTATTTAAAAATCAATTCCAGTGCAGTAATAGTTGGTGTAGGTTGTTACGTAAAATCTGAAAAATAATAAATTTTAATATTTTAAAAAATATTCTTGGTAAAAGGTATTGACTTGCAAATTGTTCAGATATGAGAAAAAAACATGTATTTAGTGTAACAGTAAAATTAAAAGTTGACATATTAACAAGATAATTAACACATAAAACACATTAATTGAAATAAATTTAATACACAAAATATAGTGGTTTTTATTTTCTCTGACTATGAGAGCATATTTAATGCATATGTAATGGTTTCTTCCTCTTGTATAAAACTAATTATATGCATTTAAACCTTTTCTGAAATTTTAAAAATATTTAATGGGCAGTTATTTTATTAGTTTAGATTCAAGTTATTGCATAAATCAATCTTTATTTTTGTTAGATTTTGTGTATAAATTGTTCTTATAGTGTTTATTTTGACTCTGTTCATGTTAAAAAATAATTATGATGCTTTGATGGCATTAATTTTTTTTTCTTTTCTCTTTACGTAAAGGATACTTCAAAATCTTGAGAGGCAGTGACGAGTGTGGAATTGAGAGCTCTATTGTTGCTGGTATTCCTAAGTATTGAACTTTCTAGTCATGAACATTTTAATATGTAAATCATGACACTTAATCCTGCCAATTTTTTAAAGAGAGCAAGTTGCTTCCGTCTTTTTTTCTGTAATTTGTGATGTATAATTTAATTTTTTAATAAAGCTTTTGTATATTTTTCTGTCAGTATTATTTCTTTCCACATATCTTTTTTTTTATTTTTTAAAAATATACCATATTCTTATTGTTATTACTGCAGTAGGTCATATTAAAAAAAAAAAAACTGCCTTTTTTTAGGGCAGGAAATGATAGCCCTCCCTATTTTTTTGCAAGCGTGGTGTGAAAGGGAAGTGAGCACACAAAGTTTATCTTCAGTGTAAATAAATCCTTAAAAAGTTACCAATTTTTTCCATCAATTTTAGCATTTTTTTCCCTACCATTTGGTTTTGCAATTCGAACACTTTGTATCAAACATAAGATTTTTTGTTGGACTAATTCTTAAACTGGTAGTTCTGTTGTAACTGCTAGGCCTAAAACTGTTTTAGGTGTTTTAAGCTAACAATTTCTTTTTTTAATTGCTTCAAGCATTAAACTAAAGTCTGCATACCAGGATGATAGGATTTCAGTCACTTTTTAAGCTTATGATTTTTGTTTTTTGATTCTTTTAGCATTTTAAATTCTTTTAGTTTAAAACTCCTAGTTGCACTTAGGGTATGGTCTGAGGTTTTTATACTACAGTTTTTTTTAATCAGTTTGTTGAGCAACTATAGTTGATTATCATATTTATGCATAATGTTATTCTGTAATGCTGTGCTAGATTACGTAGACTTTTCATATGTTCACAACATATTTTCTTCCAATGCAAAATTTTAATTTTCATGTATAGTAATAATTTTGTACATAAACTAAACCATGCTAAAGGCTATTGAATACTCACCTGTATGAATAAAACTTACTTTGCATCGGTAGCTTTTTAAACTGTTGTGGCTCTCACGTGTCTGACAGTAACATCAGAACAAGCCCACAAAATTAATCGTAGCTAGGAATTCAAGATGGTGCCTGCCACTGACCTTGAGTACCATATATGTGACAATACAACTTTGATCAGTTCTGTCCCCAATTTTGATGGAGAGCATCCCAAGGGGGGGAATGGGTCCAAGGATCTCTAACTGTGCTTCCCACCAGCAACTTCGCGAGAGGCCTTTTTGCTCACCATGTATTTAGAGTGTCCATGTACCGAACAGATACTATACATTTACAAACATCCACGTTTTCTCCAGGATTCAAACCTGGTGCCTTTGGTACGGCAGTCAGTGACGCTAACCACTGTCCTGGTTGGGTGGTGATATTTATACATTACATCTACAGTTGTTTTGGATTACAAGTACATTGCTTGTTTTGTGATTTAGATGGTAGAATGGTTGAATGTGGTAAGATTAATTTGAAGTTGCTGTACGATTTGGAACAAAAAGGGAAAAAAGCATTAATTGGTGTTTAAATGAAGGTTTACTTAGTAGCCATTATAAATGTCCTGTTTGTAGGAAGGAAATGCATATGGTCGAACATCGGAGGATATGAAGGATGTTTTTGACTTTTATCTTTGTGAATTTATGTGGTGATGCCAGTACACAGGTTTTAGTTCAGATAATTTTAGGAAGTTTTTGGATGCTGTTAAGGAATTTTGTTTGACTGAAGACAGGCAAATTTCTAAACAAGGTAAATGGATATTTTCTTTGTGTAGTTCTAAGATGAGTTTCTTTTTTGATGTTATTTGATTGTTTGATTTAAAATGTAGTTTATTGAGATTATATGTTTTTTTGTTGGCTCTTTGACTTTTAAATTGAAATAGGTCGATGTGTACGTAGACAAAGTCAAGGAAGTGTGCAATGCCAAGTTTGTGCCTTTGATTTTTTTAAAGTGGAAATAGGTCGATGTGTACGTAGACAAAGTCAAGGAAGTGTGCAATGCCAAATTTGTGCAATTCTTTGATTTTTTTAAAGTGGAAATAGGTCGATGTGTACATAGATAAATTTAAGGGAGTGCACACTGGCAAGTTAGTGCAATTCTCTGATTTTTTTTTAGTGAAAATAGGTCGATGTTTACATGGATACTAAGTTTGTGCAATTCTTTTACTTTTTACTTTGGCTTTGTGTAGCGGTGCGATTTTTGGCGCAAAAAGCCAATATGACAAGTCAAAGAATAGCATAAACTCTGTATCCATCCACCGCCAAAAATTGTCAATTTTTGGCAAGGGCAGCCGTAAATATATTTTTTACCGTTTCTGATTAGGCATCTCGTGATTTAAGTCTATTTTTGTTCAAATCAGTCAGATTAAAAAGTAGAAAAAATATTTTTAAGAACTCCATTTAAGTCACTATATTTGCCTATAACAGTTTAAATTGAAAGTTAAATATCTTTTGCTTGTGGTAGTGCATGGAGATAAATATTTTTTTTTGAGGCAGTGGCAACACATTGTTTTCGAGTAACTGAAGTCGTGGATCAAAATTGAAAGATAAATATCTTACATTTTGCCAAATACCAACATGCTGGAGATAAAAATGTTTTATTTCTAAGTATTTTCACTTCTCATTTTCAAATAACGAAGTTTATTAAACAAAAATTTGTTAAAAAGTTTTACAAAATATGATACAAAAAAGAATTCAAAATTCAGACTTCAAGGTGCTCATGTCTGGGAGGACGAGTGTGTTTTAAAAATTCAGTTGCCATAGGTACCATTGTTTACCAACAGTGTGAGAAACATATATATATATACACACAGAGAGAGATTCTTCATTATTTAATTAAAAGAAATTAATGCTGATAATATTTGGTGGCAACTATCTGAAAGTGAATGGACAAAGAATTTTGAGACTAATGGCATGTATGATGCAAATAATGAAAAAATCTTGAATGAAATCAAAAAAGTCTGCTTTAAGTAATACAAATATAGAAGTTAAAGAAGTGGCTATTTTAAATTTTATTAAAAAATAGTGAATATTAAGTGGCATTAAAAGCCGTAAAAGAAACATGCACAAATCATGAACAAAAATGATCGTAATTACTTTTTTGCTAACTGCTATTTACAGTTACAAGCTCAGAATTTATTACTTTAGTTAGTCTTCTGCTTATATTATATTTAAATGCTGTTGCTATACAGAAGCATAAGTATTAGTAAAGAAAAGAAGTAAAGGTTAAGATCTTAATTATCTTAATTAGAAGTAAAGATATTAATTGAAATGAAATGATACTCCTGTCATAATTTTTTTTTCAGTTTTTGTTTTGTAGCATTCCATATTTTTTTGCCTTGAACATAATTCTCTCTTTCCATATGATTGTTTGCTATGCATTTTATTATCTGAACAATATTAACTATTAAAGACAATTTGATTGTTTTTACATGTATATTGTATTACTTGAACAATATGATTAACTGTTACATAACTAAATATTTTATATAATGATACCCGTAATGATATGAAAAATACTAAATTTGTGTAAGGCATAATTTGAATACGTTTTTCATATTTTCTAAATTAAACATAATTTTTTTTCCTTATGATTGTTTTATTACTTGAACAATATTATTAAATTTAAAAGACAAAATTTGACTATTTTTACATATACATTGTATTACCTGAACAATATTAACTGTTACATAACTAAAATATTTTACATAAAGGTACCAGAAAATAATGGGAAAGTTATTACATATTTATTTTTTTCAGAGTTATAATTTGAATTCTGAGATAAATAATTTTCATAATTCTACATGTAGGTAAAGAACCTCATGTCTGGTAAGTCAGTATGAAGTCAAATGGGTAAGGGGAAAAAATATCTATATTCCTTGAAAATTTGCCCACCAGCGGCCGAGCGGTAAAGTCACCGAACACTGGTAGTTCGAATCCCGTGAACGGGCCAGCTGCATGGGTGTTTTCGTGGTTTTCCCCACGTGTAACATGTATACGAGCCAGTTTCCCTCAGAAAGTCCTCCACAAAGGCGTCCCTCCCCTTAGGCAGATAGCCCTCGTGTGCTTTGCCATAATTAAATACACACCAACACCCTTGAAAATTTAGCAAAAGCTGTAGATTGTTTTGCGATTTCAAATGAGTTGATGAGCACAAAACTTGAATTAAAAAAAAAAAAAAAAATGTTGCATAGGTTTTGGTAATCTTTTGCAAAATGCTGTTAAGTAAATATAGATTCTATTTGTATACTGCTGCCTAGCATGCAGTCTTTGAATGTTTATCTTATTAATTATAATTATGATATCTATCTGCTTTTCTTGAAGATATTAGACCCTGCTGTTAATTAAAATAGATTGGAGAATTCTTAATCAGACACTTAAAAAAGTAAAGTAAGGCAAAAGTAAGACCTCTAAATATTGCTAATTCAACCTGAGTTCAGATTCCAATCAATGGGCTGCATGATTGTTTTCTCTATATTTAAGATGAATTCAAGCCAGTTTTTCTGAGAAATAATGTGACACTTTAACAGTCTGAGCCTGAAAATGGCACCTTTAACCATCTGAACGGCATGACTGGTTTTACCCAGTCATGAGATTTTTTACCATTCAGTATATTAGCTTATAATTTAAGATATTTTGCTTTGTTTAATGCAATTAATAGATGAAAGATTATGAAAATAGAGATTAAAATAAGTAAATGCATAAAATTATCTAATAAGTGTTGTTTAAATACAGGTCAGATCCAAAATTCCGTGCTATTCAGAGGGGTATAAAGGTATGCATTTTGCAATAATTAATTAAAAGCAATTAATGAATAAACACCTTAAACTGACTTTAATGCATAGTTCTCAAGTGTTTTTACTTTCATAATTACCTTAGAGTATTAATGTTTTCCCTTGATATCAGAAATCAGATTATTGGTTTGCCATATATGGTTCATACAGTAACGATGGTTAAAAAGTGCCTTACAGTTTCAATGTACAATTTGAGCGGGTAGGATATGTGATTTAAAAAGTAAATATAGATTTACTGAATAAATTACAAAAAAAGTATTCAGTTTGTCCATTTCTGGAATTTTTATATTTTAGAATATTTTTAGATGAAATTAAACTGGACTTGGCTAGTTATTTCATGTTAAGTTTTTGCACTGTATATCTTTTCATCAGCACAGCTGGCATAAAACCAATTTCACAAAAATATGAAATTAAACTAAGCT